AAAAAAAAAAAAAAAAAAAAAAACAAAGTAAAAATAAGTAAATTTCATCAATGTTGCAGAAATAGTTGAGGTGGTCACTCATCACAAATAGGCATATATAGTTGAAGGAGTGATATCACAACCTTGGCTTAAAAAATGACAAGGATATTGGGAAAACATAATAAGGAAGTGACATGAAAGGATGATGAGGTGGACGAGCACTTTGTTAATTTTGCAAGCAATGAAAATGATAAGGAACTGCATTATGCACCGCCAATGTATGATGAAATAGATGGGAAAGTATGGGTGGTTGATACAGGGTCATGTAGACATATGTGTACTGATAGAACATTGATGAGAAACATGATGAAGCTCCAAAATCCTATCATAGTTTATCTACAAGATGGATGCATTAAGCAAGCTAAGCTAATATGATAGGAGAAGTGAAGCTGTCAGAAGAGATTACATTGTATGGATTTTTGTTTGTGCCATCATTCAAACACAACTTATTGTCAGTTACACAAGTCTGTATTAATTCCAAGATAAGGTGTTGGTCCATATCTTCTAATTGTCTATTTAAAAGTGAGGAAGCTGAGAAGAAAGTGGGATATAAAATATTACAAGAAAATTGTGCGTTAGGAGAATAAGAATTTAAAGGTGAGATTGTCTGGAAAAACATTTCTTGAAGATGGCATAAAATCTTGGGACATGCGGCTTTTAATGTTTTGCAGCATGTCTCTTTTCTAAAGGGCTACTGCACTGAATCAAATTTGAAGATATTAAAGGAATGTGAGATATTCTTTAAGTCTAAGCAGCACATACTTCTATTTCCCACTAGTAACATTCAGTCAAATGAATGTTTTGAGTTGTTACGTGTAGAAATTTAGGGTTTATGTAAGGAGAAAAATCTCACTAGTACACCATATTTTTTGAAGGTAGTGGATGATTACAGTAGGGGTGTATTTTTTTATGAGAACAGATTAAGGGTGAAATAGTGAAGCATATCGAAAATTTCCTGAAGATGATCAATACATAATTCAGAAAGAATGTTAAGATTATGAGAAGTGAAAATAAATTAGAGTACTTTATAAGCCATGAATGTTAAAGTCTTTTGCAAGACAATGGGATTATAAATCAAAGGTGTTATGTTTACACTCCACATTAGAATGGTGCAATGGAGAGGAAACACAAAAAAGTTTTGGTGATTGCAGGGGGAATTATATTTCGATTCGGTACAACGTTGAAATTTTGGAGCTATGCAGTTCTTACTGCAACCTATATTATCAATAGACTTATCAGTAGGTTTTTGTAATGGGAAACACCATTTGAAAGGGTATAAAACCACATGGAAAATTGTCATTAATTGAGACCTTTTGGTTGTTTGGTTTATGCAGTGAATACATCTCATCTAAAAGGAAAACTATTAGCTAATTCACATAAGAGTGTGTTCATTGGCTATGCAGTAGGATACAAGAGATATCATATGTATGACATGGATGATAACAAGAAGTTGCTTTCTTAGCTATGCTAGTATGTGTGGATGGTGTTATGTTGATATGATCTAATTGTTGTAGCAAATTATATTCTTACCGAATACGGGATGACTCCTGACCTCAAGCGATCTCTCGAGGAAGGCGGTTTAAAATT